AAAATGACAGGTTCAAATCCAGGTCTGTATGACGTCAGAGACGTGAATATTTATTCTAAGTGCCGGTGGTGGCGTAAAATCTGGACGTAAAATATATCTTATCCATAGGACTGGTTCGATCCTCCATTAACAGATCAAACAATAGTTGGATGTGTTTAAGTGTTTCATTATACCTCCAGAATTGTTGTAATTGTGACACCACTTAACCATTTTGCCATTGTACTAGCTGTTAATATTTGAACTTGCCGACTTGATAATGCGTAGCTCTTACGGCCATACATAATTTTTGCCATTGTACTAGCTGTTAATATTTGAACTTGCCGACTTGATAATGCGTTGCTCTTACGGCCATACATAATTTTTGCCATTGTACTAGCTGTTAATATTTGAACTTGCCGACTTGATAATGCGTTGCTCTTACGGCCATACATAAATTTTGTCATTGTAGTTTAACTACTGTAGAACTAAATTGTTGCATTTCATTTATTGCACTTTATATATTATTGTTGGGTTTTAGAGAGAAAATCATTTCTTTACGGATAACAATTCTGCTTTAAAATATAAAATCAACATTACCAAATGATGTTTAAGCCTGAATTAACTAACTAACAGATATAGTATTTTATGGCATACAGAGGGCGCTGAGGCGCAAATAGCCATATAAGCAATGTTTTAACTATAATACTGTAAAGGGGTTAATTATTCATTGGGTTTTAATTTTGCTTATTTCGCTGACTGGATAATGCGCTGAATTAAAACCCAGTGAATATGTAAAATTTAGCATATAGCACATTATCCAAATGATAAAACCATGAATTTAAAACCCACTGAATATGCCTGAAATGGTAAATTAGCGAAATTTAAACTCAGTGAAAATTAATCATTTTACAGTATACGGTCCCTGGAAAATATAATCGTATCGACACTGTATGTAATTATCACAACTACACGCAAAGTTATTTCCTGTGAAATAAAAATACTGCTTATAAACTCGGATTTGAAAATTATTTATGTGAATACAGAATTATTTAAAATGTTATTTAACCCCAAATTTTGATTTTTTTTTTTTGCATTTTTACTAAAGAATCGAAGGTGTTAATGTATTCATTATTGTCCGTCGTTTGAATATAGATAATAATCAACCTAATAAGCCAATAAGAAAGTGTGAAATGATATGCAAATTATATCGAATGATATAAAAACACACGAGTTTTGCAGTTACTTCACTCTGTGTTCAGTCTAACTGCTCAGAATACTACTTTATTCTTATTGCTACTACTACTTCACGAAGAAAATTTATTATTATGGCTATGCGTGCTAGTTCCAGAAGCAGAAAACCCAATTCCAGGTATCCTGTATTCCTGAGACGTGGTGATGACAATGACCTTTGCATCATTTGCGACCGGGTGGTTTCAGGCCGTCATCATGGTATGTGCTGTGATTCTTGCTCAAGGTGGCAGCACAGACTATGCGACAGTGGCGTGAGTCACGTGTTGTATCGCAGTCTGAGGAATGGTGAAATTGAAAATTTTGCCTGGGTTTGCGGTAGATGTAATCCCGTTCGAACGCCAGTTTCTCCTCCTCCTGGCTTTAGTTTATTGACCTCAACGGATGACGCGGGTGAAGATGATGCCATGGAAGACATTGGGGAAGGAGACACTGAAGTAGGGGAAGAGGAAGAGAACACTGGGACCACGGAAGAAGACACTGGGGCAGGGGCAGATCACGCCGGAGATGGAGATGGGGAGGGTAACACAGGAGAAGAAGCGGAAGAGGACACTGGGACCACGGAAGAAGACACTGGGGCAGGGGCAGATCACGCCGGAGATGGGGATTGGGAGGGTGACACTGAGATCGGGGAAGAGGACACTGGGCCCAGGGAAGATGGGGTAGAGGGTTCTTTACATATTCATTCTTTTAATATATCCACTTCTTTCACAGAACCAACTGAAGCCCCTCGACCACCAAGACCAGATAGCATACCAACTTTACTCGACCACATCGACACAGAAATATCAGACGAAATCACTTATGAAATTATTGAAGGCGTATCCCAAAGATCCAGTAAAATATTATTTGATTCTTTAGGTTTTAGGTACACTATAAAGTTCGGTGCAAGAAAGAATGGTAATTTATGGCGGTGTTGTATTAGAAATAAGGCGATGGTTTGTAAGGCAACGGTGGAACAGATGTATTTACAGACGTATTTACCCGTTCGATGACGAATCACATACACCCAGCAGAACCAGGAATAAAAACAAAGATTCAAGTCACTAAAAAGGTACACCAGAAAGCAAAAGAAAATATTTTCCAGTCAGCGCCAGCAATAATCGAAGAAGTCATGTTAGCCGAGTTGCGACCTGAAGACCCTGCATCAAGCCGACCTAATCCGTCCAACCTTGCGTGAAGCAGTAATTATCAGAGACAGAAAGAGCGACCCGCAGAACCAACGGACCTTGATTTTTTCCGTAAAGACATCGTAGTTGAAGGAGCCCGCCATCTATTTTTCGCCACAGTTTTACAACTACAGTTACTAGCAGCGGCAACTAGTATTTTCCTTGATGGCACTTTTAAGGTAATCCGCGAACCTTTTTATAAACTTTTTTCTATTCACGCTTTTCTCGGGGATCATAATGACGACAACGTTAAGCAAGTACCGGTAGCTTTTTTTTTTATGTAAAGACGCCATAAACGCGATTATAAGGCAATTTTTCGCACCGTCAAAGAAGTCCTTCCCGTTCTTTCAGTTTTGACCGTTACTGTTGATTTTGAAACAGCCGTATAGCGCGCAGCAGAGAGCGAATTTCCCGGAATTCAAATTCGAGGATGTAATTTTCATTGGAAACAAGCTCTATGGAGGAAAGTGCAAGACCTTGGTCTTTCCGGAATCTACCGCCTAGTTGGACCAGCCCAAGATTTTATTAGATTACTTTTCGCGTTACTGTATATACCAGTGGAACACATACAGCCGACTCTAGAACAACTGACCACCGCCGCTAACGACCAACTCAGACCGCTATGTGAATACGTTCAGCAAACATGGATGAGTGGGAGATGGGAACCACACACTTGGTGCGTATTTAGATGAGCTATTAGAACCAACAACGACCTGGAGGGATGGCATAACCGACTAAACACCAAAGCCCAACGCGGAAATATCCAATTTTATCTACTAGTTCAGCTGCTCCACACAGATGCCAAACTTATTACATTACAGCAACAACTAATCAGTGAGGACAAACTTCGACGCTATCAGCGAAAACAGACACGGCTCATGGAAGGAAAATTAAACAAGTTATGGCGGAGATACAGAAGATTAATGAAGGCAGCGTCTTACATCGCAGCACCGACAACTGAATGATGAAACCATGTCGGTAATGTATTTTCTGTCCTTTGATGAAATTGCCATTACAATCTCGCAACTCGATTACTTTTATGTTATGTACTTTTCATGTTTTGAAATACACTTAAATGCTGACAAATAAATTTCTCTAGTGTTTTTTTTCAGCGCCGTTTACTTTCGTTA